TGGGGTAATGCTGCAGGAGTTGAAAATTCTTCACTTTTCACTCAGAGCCCAAAAGCGGTTCCGCGCTCTTGTTGTTGTTGAAATATCTTCCATTCTGCAACCCCTTTCTCAAAGACGTGACGTCGCAAGCCTCATATTGCTTTATAGCTATTTCTGTGGAAAGTGTTCAAAGGAACTACACTCCTTAGTTCCAGCAGTCATAAACTTCACGGCTAAAACCCGACATGCCATGCACAATGTTACAAACTACCCTCATTCTCTTTGTATTCCGTTGTTGTTCCAACGGCTAACTCACGAACTACTGCCTTGGGAAACTGACTCCCTACAAGATGCTTCCTCGATCATTGCAATCTTAACCTGTTCAAGTTTAGGGTTCACCAGTATCTTCCGCACCAATCCGCATAAGATGTGCCTCTTACTCTGCAACCATCTACCTCGAGTGACCCCGGGCATTGTACAGGGTGAACGCCTTTGTAAAAAAAAAAAAAAAAGAAAAAAAAATTAAATTACCCACCTTGCCGAAGATTTTAAAGAAATCAACTTAGTGAAAGACCTTCCATCATTTTCAGTTATTAATACAACACAAAACTTATGGTCCATCAGTAAACTGGAATTTTATGAGAATGGATAACATTGTTTAAGCAAATATTTAAGGAAAGCAATAAAAACTATTGAAAGTAATGTTAAATATAAAACAGTACAAAACTTAATAGCGTCATTAGACAAAAGACTAATGAAATTTATATGTCAATTATATTAACACATTAAATAAAATGATAATTTATTTAAATATCTGTGATATTCTGTTAATCAAATATATATTTCCGTGAACATTTTGAATTTATCTATAAATAAAACTGTGTATTGCACTGTATTTATTGAATAAAACCTGACAGTCCCAATGGTAATATTAATGGTAATATTAGCCTTTTCATTATAAGGAAACATTCGGCCTTCATTGACCGAGCAGTTTATAGTACAGTTGAAATTTATAAAATCTTTCTCTTAAAATAACTTTTCAGAAACATACGTTTCTCAAGTCCTGTAGCTTTCGAATATTGATGAGAATTTCCTTCCTAACCTTTTATTTGAAGTTGTGTGGAATGTCAACATCTTGATTATGTCATTATTTCCTCTTCGAGTTATATACGATATGCATTGTAGCTAAGCTGTTGTTAAATATCCTCAAATGGTATGGTTTCTGTTATTTGGTACTGTTCTTTCTTTGTAATTCTGTAGTGCCAGCCTACAAAGTTCGAATAAGTATGATCTTCACGAAGCCCCATAGTCTCCACTCTTCCAAAGCCATTTTAACCACTTATCTGAGAAAGTGGTTGTATATAGCAGACAGTTTATATATTTCTGAGCGTGTATAGCGTTATAAACGTTATCTGTATGGAAGTCTCAATCTGACGAAACTATTAAAGGCCATAACGAGTTTTCAGGTAAATGTTCAGGTTTTCATGCAATTTGCATTGTTACTATTTTAGCGTTGCCAATTCTGTATTCAATTTCCTTATCTTCAATACTAAGTCTGTTTTAACTGATCCATACACCGAGGAATTTGAAGCATTTATTTTTTACTAAATCTACATCCTGAATTTTTAAAATGAATTCAGGGTGGTTGCTCTCATAACTTTCATTTCAATTCCACATCATCGTATCTATTTTTGGAAAGGTTTATCTTGAGTCCAATGACGGTTCGTGTATAGGCATTGCAGAACTGCAGCACCTATTTTTTTTACTCAATAGTATTGATAACATTCAATATAATGAGTCTTTTTTTGTCTTAAATTCTTTCTTTATACTTGTAAAAGCTGTTCCAATAACTTGAACTGATTTAAAATGTGAATTAAGTACAAAATCAGTCCAAGTTATTGGAACACCCTTTACATTATATAATCCTTAAGCTTAATATCAGTAACCATCCCCTAGTTCATTAAAAATTACTAAAATTCTTGTATGGAATTGTGTACTTCACAGTTCTAGTAAGGTGATGTTTGGGTGTTGTGCACGTGTGCACATGTCCGTGGAAATAAGCTGAACGCTGGTTAGAGAGAGACCTGTCGCTCATGCAATGATGACCCTGTCGTCCAAGTGTAAGGTAGTGTTTATTTTTTTACTCAGCGTGAGTTGTGCTTGAAAACCGTCTACCATAATCTTGAAGGTGATAAACTGTAGATGATTATCATGCTTTCGGCAGTTTTATTTAATTCATTGGTTTTTTTTTATTGTATAAAAAACTTTAATAATTAAACCATGACCTCCTTGAATCCCAAAGAATAAGTTCTGTGACAGTAAGTGAAGTTCAACAGCCTAAGTTTTCACAGTTGTCTTTCCATGAGAAAGTTCAACACCTGATATTCAAATACCTCGACCAGGAAAAAAGCAACAAGAAGAGATATATTCGTAGCTTTGATTCGGAATGATACCAACGCAAAAGTTGGCTCTGCGGCTGTCAAGTGAAAAATGCATTGTTTTGATTCACGTACTTGTTGTTTGGCGGTGATGTAATGTGGACAAAAGACGGTTTTTAGAAAATAAAAGAACAAACTGAAAAGCATGAAAAACCAGCGAAGCATATTGAATATGTTGTTTCCCTGTCCCTTTTAGGAAACGTAAATATCAAGGAGTAACTTAGTGAGGCATATAGACTTTCAGTCAATGAGCCTAAGATGAAGGGTAAAAAGTACCGTGAAATTTTATCTAAAATATATCTTTATTTTGTGGAAACTTTGAAATACCCTTACGTGGACATGATGAAAAAGATGATTCAGCAAATCACGGGCTATTTAGAGGATTCATTAATTTTGCATCTAAATTAGATCCAAATTTGAAGAATCACTTAGAAAAAAGGACCATTCAGAATGAGATACTTGACTGCCTGCTACAAATATATGATGAGGAGATAAGGACAGAAATTAGGGAACGTTCGTTTGTAGCCTTCATGGCTGATGACACAACAGATGTTTCGGAACACCCTAAAGTGGTCATTGTTCTACGATATGAGCTGAATGAAGAAATATTTGAGCACTTTGGGGGGGGGGAATTCTTTATACCAGAAAATCAAACTGCAGATGGCATATCAAAACATATTCTAGAACAATTAGACATAAACCTGATAGCTCAGACAGTTGATGAACAAAAGCTGATAGCTCAGACATTTTATGGTACAAATGCCATGAAATGTAAAATAGAAAGAGTTCAAGCAAAAAATAAAAGTAGTTTATAGCAGTGCACATTTCATTCACTATTATGCACATCAACTTAATAAGTGCGGCAAGTATTACACGGAAAGCAAGAATATTTTTTTTCTAATATTTCCAACATTCTTCTCAAGATCACCACAATGTGTATCCATTCTCAAAAAGCACATAGACTTCAGCCATTCACGTCTTTTAAGTGGTGGGACTTTAACATACAGACCATGAACAGAGTTAATGAAAATTTGCAACCCTTCAGTCATCAAATTTAGTTCAATCTATTACAGAATCAACAGGAATTTAACAATACCTGAATGATGGTAATTTCATGTTTTGGTTAGAGCTTTTCAGCAGATTATGCCCATGTCGAAGTAATTTACAACCAAATTGAATCTCGAGTAATTACTGAATTTAAAATTAATTAATATATAATATATTTCAAAACTGCTATTTTAGAAATAAGAAACTCAAAGTATTGTGAGAATCCTACAAAGACGCTCATGTCAGAAGCAAAGAAAATGTGTGACTGCATATGTGTTGATATGATGGACAAACATTCTTCCCCTAAACAATTAGTAGCTGCTAAATTGTTCAACAAAAAAAGCTTCACTAGTTTTAAGAATGAAATACTACTGACCACTGAAGCATATGCCATGATTGCTAAAGAAAAGTCTGAAACTCAACTAAAAGTATCTATTGTAGATCCGATATGCATGAATATTGCCGATTAATTGGGATGCTGAAATTTATCTTGGGAAATAATCTAGATGGTGTTCTTACTGAAATTACGAAACTGATAAAAATCCTCTTGACAATTGCTATGACTACATCAGAAAGAGCCAGAATTCTGCATTTCAACACTGAAATGAATGAGAACCTTTCTAAGGAGCACTATGAATTTTGAAAGCCTAAATGCACTTGTAATGCTTTCAATGGAGAAAAAAATCCTCAACAATCATCCCGGAAACAAGGAGAAATTTGAATTGTAAAAATTTATAAGCAAAAATTATTTTTTCGTTTTGTATTTCAAGTTTATTTATGAATGTTTTTTTTTATGTGAGTTTCGTTTTACACAATATTAAAACAATGACCCAACTAATTTTAGCCACGAGCCACCACATCTTGAATTCTATTTCTTGGAACACTTGAAAGAGGATTTTATTATCAATATTTTAAAATAAGAATAACTATTATATTCTGAAAGTCACGGGATATATGACTGATACAAATATTTCATAAAAAATTTACAAACATCAGTTAATACCAATTTTCGTCGGAAAACATTAGAATGTAACTTAGTGTAATCTCATTCTTTAGCAATATATTGTATTTAGTGATAAATATTAATTATATAGAACATTATGGAGCGAACATGTCATGGCAGTAAATTAAAGGGTAGGTTTGGGGTTTAAATAAACCCCAAACCTACCCTTTAATTTACTGCATTCTTACATGGTTTTATTTAAACCCTTGAATTATTCCTCTAATTTCAATCAATTATAATTGATTTATTGATTGATTCGTTTTCTACGGCTTATCAACCATTTACAGGTTATTCAAAGGCATAAAATATTATTAGATTGATGTTATTTTTTATTTGCGATGTTGTGTGGATAATAATGATTTACCGATACAAGTCTTACTAATTAATCCATAGCTTGGAAGAGGAGAGGTGTATCCATACCTTTCCCAAGAGCATTTGCGCGTAAGTGAATAACAGAAACACACCGGAAATTGGAACTCGCCTCTCCGATTAACAATTCCGAGCCGTTATCTATTACACCACCCGCACATCCAAGCACCTAGTATTCCCAAGCTGTCACCCATCTAGGTACTGACTAGGCTCGACGTTGCTTAACTTCTGTGATCGTACAGTAACTCGATGTTTCGTCGTAGGAACTCTTTTATAGATTCTGAGTTGGTGCCTGAGAATCATAGAAAGGAACCGAAAGGTCTGACAGTCGTAAAGTGGATTGCTTTGAGTTTGATTAATTGAAAGTTTTGTGAACTTCATTTTTCACTGTTAAAGCACAACGCTCCTTCAAGTCACTGATGAATGTGTTCAGCAGCGGCATTTTTCTTCACTCGCCTCGACAGCTGCGCTGAACAGTTATCAACCCTTCCACATGTGCGTGTTCTGGAATTTGGCTGTTGAATCGTGAAGAGAGAATTTCAGTTCAATTCTTCATTGGAAACGAGAAACCAAAGCCGTCAAAATTTAGTTTCATTTCAGTTTTTTTCAAGAACACGATTTGAGATCTTATTATTACCATTTAGACAGATTTTACGATGAATTACAGATTTTGAAGAATTTTTATTTGCAATTCAAAGCAAATCTTATGAGATTGATGCTGACTAAAGAATTTCGTTCCTTTTAAAAGTTTATGTCTTTAAGAAGTATATTTCATTGTTTTAAAGTACACTTTGCACGGTTATTCTATACCATCTTTTAAATTATTCTTCTTCTATGTGCCGCGTCTCTTTAAGCCGTAGTTGGCCATGGCTCTCCACTAATTCCCATTCTTTGTAGTCCTTAGCATGATTTCTCTTCTTACTATCCCTCCCAATCATCTGTTCTACCATCTAATTATACAAATCAATAGGAATAGATTCACCTATCGTCTGCTTTCCACGGTCTTTTGAACAGGAGTAGAGGTTTATCACTTGCTTCCTGTTTAGGATTAGGTGCCCGTTTCCATCTAAATTCTACTTCAACTCAATACTTCTAACAACTCTGCCTAAACTTATGCTATTATTGGGTCCATAGTTCCTTACAAAGTATTTTACTTCCCTTTCACCTCCTAATAGCGCCTTGTGTATTAGTGGCTTTATTGGTTTGCTTGGGGTGAGTTGATTAAAGAATTTTAAAAAGCCCCTTTCGGTAGGTTACTCGTTACTTTTCTTTGTCACTCCTGCCTTCAATATGTTTTATCAGTGTCAAATTCTCCTAGCCCTCTTTTACGTAGAAATTTCAACTGTCTCTTTTTAATTCTATGTGTCCTTTTTGTTTTCATCGTTCTTAAAACTACCTCTTTACTCATGTGTCCACTTCATGCTATTCTCAACATCCTTCTGTAGAAGCAAGTTTGTGTTGCCTCAAATCTCTTCATCTATGAGGAGATTGTTCAGTATTCACTGCCATATTCTCAACATGATTTCATAATATATATATATATTATGATATTATATATATACACACACACACATATATATATAATATTATGATTTCATAATATATATATATATATATATATATATATATATATATATATATATATATATATATATATATATATATATATGTATTATTTATTACTAAGTCCCAACAATTATTTTAATATATTTTCTGTTTATAATTAATTTTTATAGATACAAATACTTAAGTAAATGCTCTATTTATAATAAACAGTAGTAACTACATTTACCGGACTGAATGTTAGAGAAATATCGGAGAAAATATGCCCCCCTCCGATTCCCTGTAGAATACATGTTCGATTCCTGTCGGAGGATACATTTTCTACGATATTTCTCGAACATTCAGACCGGTAAATGTTGTTAATACTGTTTATTAGAACAAACATTTACTTAAATGATCATATATATATATATATATATATATATATATATATATATATATATATATATATATATATATAGAGAGAGAGAGAGAGAGAGAGAGAGAGAGAGAGGTTATAATTGTCCCAACGATAGAAAAAATGTATATTTAAAAAAAAAAAAAAACGATTTTGGTTAAAATGTGGATCTTTGTGTTATGATGTGGATTTAGTGTATATGTTATATTTTGTTCTTCCGGAAACATATGTAGCAAAAATATGGTGAATAAAATATAACATATACACTAAAAAAAATCTACATTATGACTAAAAACGTTTGCGGTTTCTCTCTCTTTTTTTTAATGTATATATACATACACGCACACATACACACACACACATACACATACACACACACATATATATATATAGATAGAGAGAGAGAGCGAGTGAGAAAGAGAGAGAATGATTAGTGTTATCTTCAGCATCCCAATACCAGGGTTTCTTAGACAAAAACTCCAGCAATCACTCCGTCCACTCGTCAGGGTTTGTCAGCAACCTTTATATTTGTGAATGTGTCTACCTTCGAGAATTAGAAATTCTAATGGACAAGTTCGTAACATAACAGCTAATTATGAGCTGAATTTTGTTCTGAAATTTGCACTTTATATTATTCGATAATATGATTGCAAATTTTAGTTGCTTCTTGACCTATGTGCTAGTTGCTCTTACCAGATTCTCAGCACTGGAGAACCGCTATTAACTGATTGTTTTCTTCATTGGTTCAAACAAATGAAAGTCTCAGAGCAACAGAGTTTGGAATTGATAAATCGAGGTTGACCAGTTAAGCATCCTGTTCGTTTCCCTTAACTCTAATGTGTTCCCTGATATTTCAATTCCATATTGCAAAAGCATCTGCAAATATGGCCTACCTCGAAGAATCCTTGCTCTGTCATTTGCAAATGTGTTCAGATACGAGTCAAGATTGATAATGGTGTCGTTGAGACGACCTCCAATCTGTGGTTGACCGGGGCAGGAAATAACATGGGAATTGTAATGCGTCCAAAACGAAAGAGCTGTCATTTACTCACTATAGATAAACTTCCCTGCCTCCTATCCAGTGGCGTAGCTAGAGTAAACGTCAACCGGGGAGGTCTGCTCAAATGTCACCCCAATGACCCCGATTCACCCTATACTGAATGGTTAGCTGGAGCTAAATTTTCATACATGCTCTCCCTCTACTTTACTCTACTGACCGGTACGTTACTGTTTACATGTATGATCCAAGACAAAATCCAATACCACAAAATAATCAGTTCAAATCAAAAGCTGAAAACATTGCTATATTTTCTACTCAGAAATTTCCCGACAATTTATTATAAAATTTCTGACGGGGGGATAAAACTGGGGAGGTCATAAATTATTTTGGGGAGTCATATGCCCGCCTGCGAAACCCTGTGTCTCCACCACTGTTTTCATACTATTTTTGGCACCTTAGCCTCGTTGAAAAATTTTGTTGGGGGCTACATTGTGTCACCCCTCCTGTGCTGGCACCCGGGGCGGTCCGCCCCCCTCCTTAGCTACGCCACTGCTCCTATCAGCATGGTTGATGCTCAACTCAGCAATAGCGTCTCACTGAGCCTTCTTGGTCTTACGTTCTCCATTGACCTGCGGTGGGGCAACTACATTGAATCAATAGCTGCAGCTTATTCTCTGTGTCGCGCCAGAAGGTTTTTCCCGTCTGAGTCCATCCTTTACATCTACAAATTTACCATTCCTCCATGCATGCAATACTGTTGCCATATAGGGTCTGGTGACCTCGATGTTCATCTCGAGGTTCTCGACAAAATCCAAAGAAGGATATGCAATGGGATCGATCCTGACTTGGGGTTTCGACTCTAGTCACTTTCTCACCGACATTAATGTGGCTTCCTTCTGTCTTTGCTGTAAATATTTTCATGGCATCTGCTCGAACAAGCTATTTTCACTGGTGCCTCGACTGCATGAATTTAAGCATGCTACTAGGTTGGCATCTCGTACCCACCCTTTTACTGTCGAAACAGTTAAATGTAGCCGCCTTTTCTACTCCAACAGATTTATCTCTCGCGCTTCCCGACTGTGGAACTCCCTTCCTCTTATTTGCTTCCCTGATAACTATAATCTTCAAAAAATTAAATGCAATGTCAATCGACTTCTTCTGATACCCTAACACCCGTTCTTCTTTTAATCCTTCTCCGTTCCTCTTTTTAACCTTTCCTCAATCCCCCCCCCCATACCCAGGTCTTTTCGATTAGTTTCACTCTCTGTAGCCTAGTTTCTTTCGATTAGTTTCACTCTCTGTGTGCTAGTGGCACTGCCGCCTTGCTTGGTTTAAAACGCTTAAAACAAATTTCTAGTAGCATTTTGTTTTTCTATTGTTAACCCAATAAAACGTCAAACAGCGACTCAAGGTAGAGTGAATGTGTTCTGCGGTATCGGAATTTTCTATGCCCTCAAAGGATAAGGTTTTCTTATATTCCTTGAATCTGACTTTTAAAAGTTTCTCTCAAATTCTTTCCCATATTCTTTATACGTTTTTAAATTGAAAATTCAAGGCTCAAGTGTCACTGAAGTTAGAGGGCTACTAAATGAAGATGTTGTAGAGGCATACAAGAAGAATGAGATGTATATTTCTGAGGATATATAGGATAGATAACGGTTGAACTTGAAAAGTTTTAAAATATAGGGATCGAGAAAACCTCCTATTGGGTTCCACATTGCAACAGTTCTGGGGAAGATGCTGTCTAAGTGAAACTTCCTCATTACCAATGGAATATGAAAAGATTAAGGATGAGTCGAATCAGTGTCTGTGTCATGGCAGGTACTAGCTGTGAAGTTTTGGATTGGTGGAACCAAGGAATATAGTTCACTTGAAGATTTGCCATAAAAAATGGCAATAGAATAGCGAGAGGGTAGCAACGTTTTTGATTGTGGGAAAGAGGTAGAAGGGTAGAAAACAATTCATCACCCACAGGGCTGCACAAATGCTTTTGAACTTTGCTGAAGCTGGATTGGGCAACTCCACCTTGGGTGTGGCAGCAATACTGCATCTAGTCTGATCTGGATGTTATACCAGATAAAAGTTATGTGTGACTTTTTCCCCTCTAAATATGGTCTGTTGTAACAGAATTTTCTCTGTCGTCAATGGATAACGTTTTCTTATATTTCTTGAATCAGACTTTCAAAAGACATTTGCCTTGAAATTCTTGCTGGCATATCTTTATACAATTAAAATCACAAGGTCGAAGAGTCACTCAAGGTAGAGAGTTTTACTAAATGAAGATGTTGTAAGAGCA